GTGTGTGTGTGTGTGTGTGTGTGTGTGTGTGTGTGTGTGTGTGTGTGATGTGTCTTGTGTGGGTGTGTATGTGTTTTTGACTATGTGATGTATATGTGTGTGTGTGTGTGTGTGTGTGTGTATCTGTTTGTGTGAGGGTGCATGAATATGTGTGGTGCATTTGTGTAAATGTGTGTGGTGTGTATCTCTATGTGTGGATGTGGGTGGGTGTATGAATGTGTGTGGTGCATGTGTGTGCATGTGTTTGTGTGTGTGTGCTCGTGTGCGTGCGTGCACACATGCCCATGCGTTTGGTGTTGAGGCCCAAACTGAAGACCTCTATCATAAGCTCCACCTCCAGCCCTCCTCTGAACATCATTAGGGCTAAATTTCTTCCAAGTCAGACTGAACCAGGCTATAAGAAATAGGTTTATCTAGCATATTTTCATTAACAACCTGTCTCTTGAAGCATTAATATCTGCTTTCTAAATTTATACTTGTGCATCTTCCACATATTTATTATAAAAATCAATGTGTCCATTTATGTCTGTTGTTAATCCCCACAGGGTCCTTTATGCCATTATGCCACACCTATGCCTAAAATAAAATGCAGAGTAAACTCTTTTGGAAATGGTTGAGGCCCCACTGTATTCCAGACACAGCCACTGGCTCTTGGCCCTAGGGACAGGAATACAGAGCCCACTTAAAACCTCAGCAATTTTGCACAACAGTCATTTTACAGCTGAACCTTTGCTGGGGACAGGGGTTGTTTTGTTTTTGTGTGTTTGTATGTGTCTGTGTGTTTATTTGTATGTAATTGCCTCTGGTTACAGACATACCTAAACTTAATTTCTGCCTGAAGTCAACTTTTTAATACCTGCACAAGAAATGCAGAAGGAAAAAAAAAAAAAAAAAACAAGCTTTGCTATGCGTGAGCACACACAATTAACTCAAGAGAAGCCATAAAAACTTAATGAAGGCCATGAAGAAACTGAAACTTGACTGGGGAGTTTGGCATGCTCCCTTTCACCAATCCTGGGGCGAATTTTGAAGGTAGCACTGTCAGCTGATTGGCACAAGTCTTGCAAGCTTCCCTGGCCACTGGCCCCTAGCAGGACGCCTGATCCCAGTAAACCAGGCAAGTGCAGACAAGAAGCACACACAGGAATTAGGACCTTGAAGCAACTGCTTCACTCAGGGCCGCTCAGCTGGGAGTAGTTTTGTGGCTGTCCTGCCTTCAGTAACATCTGCATACACTCTGCAGTGTCCCAGGTTGAGAGGAAGGTTTCAAGCAGTGAGTGAGTAAAGGCCAAAGATGGTGGCTCTCTGCACAATGGGTGCAGTTAGCCCCTCCAGCCAAGAGGTGCCTGGCGCACAAAGTCAAAGGTACGCAATTTGCAGAGTCCAGGTCTACGTGATTTACGAGTGCTTCCTACTTCCTCGTCATCGGCCTCACACTCATAAGGTCTCACTTGGTTTATTTATTTGCTACTTGTTAGCATGAGCTTCCAACTGTTGGTTAACAAGCAACAGGTCATTATCTCAACATCACAGAGAAAAGTGAGCAAAGAGCAGGGAGAGCTCACTACCCAATGAGAAGGGAGCCCTATAAGCTAGCTGCCCTTGGACACTGTATCGTTTCCCTACGTTCTAGTCTAACACAATACAGGAACACCTTCAAGGACAATTAACAAAAGGATGTTCTAAGACATTAAAGTGAAAGGCTCTATGTTAGGATTGTCTCCAAACAAATCCATCCCTGTTTCGCTTTTTCACCTGCCCTGCCGCTTTATGCTGACAGCTGACCAGAAATCACTATGACAACATAAACACACTAGAAATCACAGTGATAACAAAAACACACCAGCAAATTAAAACTATCATTTTATATATACACATATATATATTTCACCTCCCAGAAATACCAGCAGAAAAGGAAACATTCTTCAACCTTGGACTAGTGACTTAACCTTTGGGTTAAGATTCTTCACTAGAAACAGGAAAAATGAAATGGGCAATTGGTAGAGACAACTTCAGTGTTATTCAGATCACGGAGCTCTACTCTCCAAGAACGGAGGTAAAAAGGAGTTTTTTCTTGGGGTTTGTTTAAAGTCCTATAACTTAGAGGCCAGGATGCAGGAACTGCTATGGTATGTTATCATGAAGTTTCCGCCACTCGCACTAGAGGGCAGAATTCTACCCAAGGGGAGACCTTGAACTCCGTAGGTCCTCAGGCTTAGGAATCCTCATTGCCCCTTAACAACTACACACACTTTTTTCTGAAGACCACCAAGTTAAGAACTATTTTCCCTAGAGACAGACCTCAGTTTTCTTACAGATTAAAGCAATTAAAAACCCAGCCTAGAGATAATTTACTGTTGTATACCAACTGAAAAGTCCCAGTGCCTTCCTACAGGCGTGAAACAAAAGCTGATTAATTAGGAAACGCTAAGGGGTCTCAGTTATCTATGTATTTCTCTTCTTCTAAGGAATGGATTATTAATTTCTTTCCGGGATGCCTTTCAGGGTGACAGAGACAACCACTTTGGAAAAAGTCAATTCAGCCATTACACAATACATCACTGAGGCCATTATAAGTAGCTGTCTGAGAATACAGTAAGTGAACGTCAGACCTTGAAACACTATAGCCAATTAAGTCTGATAAAGCAAGTTAGCTAAACGCGGAGGCAAACTCTCACCACTCTGATTTGCTGGAAGATTCCAAGACTGTCCCGGATTCACAAAACATCACCCTGACTTTCAGAGAAAATCTCATTAACCTCCCTCAAGTCAGCTAAGTTTACTCTGAGCCACTTCAAACCTCAAAACTTAAACAGAATTTGTTAAATAAACACAACCAAGAAAGGAATCGGTGCCAAGAAACCGGAGCGGCTCTCCATCCCAGGGGAAAAGGGGAACTTTCAAGTCCCGTCTCAAGTAACTGTGGTGTCCCGCCCTCAAAGACCCTAAAGCGGGCATCGGTTTCATCTTCTAAAACAAGCATTGTTTGTCCCAAACAAATTTTATTTAAACTCGAACTCAAGATCTACCAAAAAATGGCATTCAACACGGGATCTTTCCGTCTCGTGCTCTGGAATCATCCGCAAACCCCACCGGAGCGCGGCCGGTAGAGCACGGACTCCAAGACTCGCAGGCCCAAGGAGGCAGGGCAAGCAGTGACTGACTGGACGCAGCCGGCTCGCACGTCGTTAGCCGGCTCATCTGGAAGCCACTGCACCCTGCACAGGAAGCCCGCACGTTCGGCAAAGGAAGTACCAGACCTTTCTTGGAGAAAGGCACGTCCCGGCTGCGCCTTTTACCGCCTTTCCTGCACCGGGGCCGTCCGGCCCGCAGCTCTCTCCCGCCGGCGCCCCGGGACTCACCTGGCGCGGAGTGTCAGCTAGCCACCCACGCCCGGGGACGTGCGAGCGCAGGACAAACCCAAACCTGCCTGGGCTTACTCATCCGAGACTCGGGGCCGGCGGAGGGAGCGGGGTTTCAGGAGACTCCCACAAAGTTTCTCCTCCCGGGACGCGCAGGCGCCAGGGCGCGCGCGGCGCGCCGGTCCGGGTCCCGGTGTCCGCCAGGTCCACCCCGCCACTCACCTCGGGAAAGAAGCTGTCCATTGTTCCGGCGCCCGCACCTTCCCGGCGCGGCTCCAGTCGCGGAAGTCAGCGCAGCGGCAGGTCCCGGGAAGCCACGCGTGTCACCGTGCGCCTCGGGGCGACTCCAGCCCGCGGAGCCGCCGCACGGCCATGCCTGGGTCGCTGCTGCTCTCCCGCACCTTTTGTCCGCGTCTCGGACCTCCTCCGTCCCCACTGCAGCCTTTGTCTCTTCTTCCTCCAAGTTCCTCACTTCTGGGCGAAGTGCTCCCGGGAGGAGAACAGCTGGTGGCACATTCTTCCCGGGCTGGGGGAGGGTGGCAAGGGGCTGGCGACGCGCCTGCCTCCCTCTGCCTTCCGCCGGGGGCGCTCGGTTCGAGCGGGGGACCGCGGATCACCAGCGCGCCAGCAACGGTGAGCACTCCGGCCCCAGGCGCAGCCGGCTCTCGCCAGCTCCAGGGTCTTGCTCACCGCTCTGCTCCGCCGCCCCGCCCACAGGCCACGCCCCCGACACAGAGTTACGCCTCCACGAGTAGAGCCACGCCTCCTCTGAACCTGCCCCGCCCCGGAAGCTCCTCCTACAACCTGCGGAGACTGAGGGTCCTGCTCTCAACTACCCCGCCTGCTCGGACGCCTGGTTACGCCCACTGCAATCCCGCCGGCAGCCTGCTCCGGCTTCCCACACGCCGCACCCTCGAGCGTTACCACCCAGACCACGCCCACCGGGTGCCCGGCCCCGCCCCTAGGAGCCCCGCCCTCAGCCTTCCCTGTGTGCGGCCGGCGCGCGGGCTCCGGACAATCACCTAGACCTAGGCAGAAAGTGTCGCTGCCTTGCGCTTCCCCTAGGTTTTTTCGCCTCCCGCCTAGGCGCCAGCAGAGGACTTGACTCTTCCCTTTGGCCATAGAAACTAATAGTTACAGGGCATGGGAGAGGGGCCCCACGGCGGTGAATGTTAGCCACCCCAGGAACCTGCCCCACGCGGATCTCATCGAAGCAGCTTCGCCGATGAGCGTCCTTGGACAGGATGTGGAAAACAGACGAAACCAAACTTCTGGAAGCTTCTTTTATGTGTGGAGTTTCTCTACTCCAAATCGGGTTAAAAGACGTTTTTGTGATAGCCACGGGGAAATCTTTTGTACTCTGGAAGGAACGTGCCCTATATAGCACCTTAAAAAATGTAATCCCCTTTCCTGGACGTAAGGGAAACAGCAGATGGAAGGGAGATGGATGAATGCTTCCATCCACCAGGAATCAGTCCTGTTTCCCACCGAGGCAACTCCTCCAGCTTTATTGTGGCCAGGAATCTGAGGATCCCGTTCAGACTGGGGTTCCTAAGAGTCCGCTTGCCTAACGGGAGTCCAGATGGCCCTCCAAAGGTGGTGCTTAGCCATTGCTGAAAAACTCCCAACAGCTCAGAGGGAGTTTCCTTCTGTGGCAGTTTAGTAGGGCCAGACCATCCAAGCACAGGATCCATGAACCCTTTGAACCGACCGGCTGGGTGGTGTCAGAGTCACTCAGGAGTCGCAGCTGGCCCAGCAGCACTTTGGCAACTAGCACACTGGAAACAACCAGGAATTGATTTGAGAAGTTGACAAATCCTGCTAGCAACTTGAGAAAGATACTTTCCAGGGGTATCTTTGGGAAATGACACAGCCTTCACTATCCCAAGCTGCACCTCACCTGGTTAGGTGCCCACTTCTTAGGTTTATTTTCCAGATGTTGGAAGATGAATCTCACTGTGGCGTATTTCTTGTCCTAATCACCTGCAAGTGGGGGAGTTGAAGCTATTGTGCTCAAAGACTGAATAAAATGACTGAACAAGTGAGCCGTCTTGTAATCCTTGTCTGGAAAACTGAAGCATCTTTGTAACTCAAAGCAGCTTGTTAGTGTTACTGTGTTTACTCCCATCTCACCACGTTTGAGGAAGAGTCAAGGTATAAACGAATTATGATACATGTGCTGTGCTATGGTATTGCTTTCTTCCACAGGTTCACAGGAGGTTGAAGGAAAGTTAAGATGGAGCCAGGATTAATGTCAACAACTCTCAACACAACCAAAGTGCTTAGTCAAATGAGTCCTGCCACCAGCTGTGTTCTAATAGTGCAGTTGAACAATTAAGCCATTGTGGTATTAATCTGCACACATCTCTTCAATAAAGACGATTTAGGGAGCTTGCTGGAGGGTATGGGTGTGGATCGGTTCCCAGCCTCAGTCCTGCTTCAGACGTGTTAGACAACCTTGGCCCTGGCCTTTCAGAAGTCACCATCCAAGCCAATACTGGCTCATCAGCTGAAACAGATGTGCTATGCACATACAGCTGTAGGTAGCAGAGGAGCCTGGGACTACCAAACTGCATAGGCACTCTGTTCTTTTCCTTCTTTTTCTGTGAATTTAAAACAAAAAAAGAAAACAAAACAACAGCCCTAAAGTTTTGTTCATGTTTACTTAGACACAGGATTTTAAGTATCCCAAGATATTCCAGAATTCTCTGTGCAGCTTAAAATGACCTCGAGCTTCTGATTCTCCTGCCACTCTCTACCAAGTTAGGGTACCATGTCCAGATTTGGGACACTTTTGCATTGCTGGGGATAGAACCCAGAGCTTTGTGCTTGCTAGGCAAGCATTCTATAGCTGAGCTATAGCCCCAGCCTGTTGTTGAAACTAAGTAGCCCAGGCCTGTCTCAAATGCACAGCCCTTCTGCCCCAGCTTCCTGAGCACTGAGATCACTACAAGCGTGACCTGACATACTAGGCTTGGTTTTCTTGTTTTTAAAGCTGTGTTTGTTATTATTATTTAAAGCAACAGGTAACTACATGTTAAAACAACACAGCTCATGAAAAACAACTAGGGGTCCAAGATGAAAGTATATTAAAAAGTGGTAGTTTACATTTTTTTTTTAGGATGGTTTTATTTATCCTGTTTGTTTTGTTTTGTGTTTTTTTTTTCCCATATGAACTTGAGAATTGTTCTTTCAAGGTCTATAAAGAATTGTGTTGGAATTTTGATGCTACTTGCATTGAATTTGTATATTGTTTTTGGTAAGATGGCCATTTTATTGTTTTCTTACTGATCCAAGATCGTGAAGATTTTAAGTGGCTGGATACAAAATTAAATCAAAACAAACAAACAAAAAACCAACTTACAGTAGCCTTCCTTTATACAAACATTAAACAGGCTGAAGAAGAAATTAAGAAAATAACACCCTTCACAATAGCCACAAATAATATAAAATATTTTGTTGTAACTCTAACTAAGCAACTGAAAGACTTATATGACAAGAACTTCAAATCTTTGAAGAAAGAAATTGAAGAAGATATCAGAAGTGGGAAAAGGCTCATTGTTTTTTTAATTTTTTAATTTTTAATTTTTTTATTATTAGTTACATTTTATTAACTCTGTATCCCAGCTGTATCCTGCTCCCCCATTCCCTCCAAATTCCTCCCTCCCTCTCTCATCTCCTCCCTGCCCCTTTCCAAGTCCACTGATTGGGGAGGACCTCCTCCCCTTTCATCTGACCCTGTTTTATCAGGTATCTTCAGGACTGACTACAAAGTCCTCCTCTATGGCCTAGCAGGACTGCTCCTCTCTTAGGGGGTGGGGAGGTCAAAGAGCCTGCTATTGAGTCACTGTCAGAGATAGTCCCTGTTCCACTTACTATGGGAAACCAATTGGTTACTGAGCTACCATGGGCTTCATCCTAGCAGAGGTTCTAGGTTATATCCAAACATGATCCTTGGTGGAGTGTCCGTCTCAGAAAAGAAACCTGTGCTCAGATATATTTGGTCCTTGTGGAGCTCCTATCCTTTCCACGTCATACTTACTCCCCCTTCTTTCATATGATTCCTTGCACTCTGCTGAAGGTTTGGTTATGAGTCTCAGTATCTGCTTTGATACACTGCAAGGTAGAGTCTTTCAGAGGCCCTCTGCGGTAGGCTCCTGTCCTGTTACTTGTTTTCTCCTATGTCCAAAGCCCATCCTATTTGTCTTTCTAAGTGAGGATTGATCATCTTACCCCGGGTCCTCTTTCTTGTTTATCTTCTTTAGGTGTATAGATTTCATTATGTTTATCATATCTTATAGGACTATATGAGTGAGTATATACCATGTGTGTCTTTCTCCTTCTGGGATACCTCACTCAGAATGATCTTTTCTAGATCCCAGCATTTGCCTCCAAATTTCATGATTTCCTCGTTTTTGATTGCTGAGTAGTATTCCATTGTGTAAAAATACCACAATTTCTGTATCCATTCCTCTGTTGAGGGACATCTGGGTTGTTTCCAGGTTCTGGCTATTACAAATAAAACTGCTACAGACATTTTTTTTTTGCTTAGTAGAAAATATTGAATTATAATAGTTGCTTCTGCATTCATTCTGATTCAGCATATTGTTTCAGTTGAACAGTGATAGTCTGGTCACATGTATACTAATAGTTTTTCATGTAATTTTAAATATTCTTTGTACAACATCAAAACAATAATTTGAAGTGTTCATGTATGATATGAAATTTAAAGCTGTATGAAATGTATAGTGTTTTTGGTTTTGTTTGTTTGTTTGGTTGGTTGGTTTTGTTGAGACAAGATCTCTTTATTTAGCTCTGGCTGTCTTGGAACTCACTTATAGACAAGCCTGGCCTCAAACTCAGAGATCTGTTTGCCTCTGCCTCCCTAGTTCTGGGACTAAAGGGGTGAGACACCATGTTACTGCTTGTCACTTAAGAAGATATGGTAAATAACTGTCCCCTACTTAACTCACATAGAAAATTGTGCACCAGATCCCATATATGAAGTTGGATTTGTGCAATTGTCTTATTTCTTTAAAAAATGTTTAACACCATATACAAAAATACTACAGCAATGCAATACAAGAAAAACAAAATACAAACCGAACAAAAGCCTGGCCCTGAATCCTTTAGGTAGAGTGGTTGCCTGGGAATCTGCATTTTAGTAAGCACTCAGGTAGCCCAAGTGGAGCTTGAGAGTTCTTGCTGAATCTGTCAGATTTTCTGTCTCTGTGCACATTCTCAAGAAGGCGGAAAAGCAGACCTTAGCAATAAGACTGTTTGCAGAACAAGCAGCAAAGTTATTCTAAGCACTCTGAGAAGGGTGTGCAACCTGCAAGCCTTTGGGATGGCATCCATTCTTTAAGAGGCCCTGTTAAACTCACAAGGTCTTTGACAATACTGACAGGAAAAGGAAGGCACTTTAAATCAATAGATTTCTAAGAATATCTACTCTTGCTACTTTTCTTGGTTGGTTGGTTGGTTGGTTGGTTGGGTTTTAATTTGAGTTGTTAAATACTTCCTCTGGGGGCCGAGCTACTGGCTACTCGAAGCTAACGGTCAAACCTGCCTCTGTCAAGTAACAAAGTCACAAGAATGTTCAGTCTGAGCCAAGGTTTCTCAGCTCTCCAGATGTAATTCAAAGACATTCTACCTGGCTAGTAAGGTACCACCTTTGTAAAATGAAACACCTCAAAGGC